TAACTTAAAAAACGAATCATTTTATCATTTACTTGTACCGAGATTAATTTATGCCATGGTACAATATTATTTAATATTAAAATAATAAATGTATTATTTAATACGGTATATAAAATACAACCATGTTTACCAATAATCTAACATGGAAACTTACCATTTATAAATGATAAATAAATGTGCAATTTGTCAAATGGCAATGGTTCAACTTTACCACCAACAATGATGGAATATGTCCATTGGGTCTCCAATGATTCGTAGCCATTACAAGTGTATGGCGTGGAAACTGTCACGTTTCTCACTTGTATATGTTGTACGATTGACCCTGTACATTTTACCGATTCCTCCAATGTAAAGTTTATAGTTTTCCACGGGGTAATCGCTGTAATAAATTATGAATTAATAAATTATATATATTTTAGTTTGCAATATTATTTTAATAAATTCTAAATAGCGATATAAAATTACCATATTGTTCTCCAGTCTTTGGGAAGCCATTAGCACAAACGTTACCATTGTCAGAAATTTCTAATTTAAAATATAATTTAATTTTCTTAGTAATATTATTCTGAAAGTTATTTATTAATATTTATTATATATAAATAATAATTACTGTAAGAATAAACCAAATTCAAACCACTAACAAAACACACAACCAGTAAAACAGTTGAATAATTCATTTTATTGTAAATATTGTCGATTTAAATCAGAAATATTTTATAAACTAATTAAACTTATTGCATTGTATAAATATATTTACAAACTTAGCGCTATTTATACTATTTTATAAATACGGTAAATTATAGCAATCTAAAATTGCACTAAAACATTTATCAAGATATAAAAATGTATGTTAGATTGTGAGGATTAATATCACGTTAGTCCAAAGCATTGTTTTATTTCATTGTTTCAAGTGTTATAAACTAAATTCTACATATAGTACTTAACTCCACACTACTTATGATTAATGCATTTTATTTTATCTCAGTAATCAATGCTTTATTTATCGGCATGATAAGTGCAAAACAATTATACCAATGTATAAGTTTGCATTATGCAATGTCTATTATATTGATAAGAACATAATAACTTCTCACTTTCTCCTAATAAGTATTCGTTTAGTGTTAAATGAAAATAATAAATACGAGCTTGTTAAACCATAAGTTCGTTATATAACAAGTACATTTTATAGAATTAAGTTTATTAAAGCATAAAATTATGTGTGTTTACGTATTACGAATTATTTTTAATTTAGTATTTTCCGCAGAAATTACATTTTTAAATTAAATTTTGTGATTTTTATTGGCAGGAGAAACAGTAATATGCACCGCGAAAAACCTGGCCATAGTATAAATAAATATAATTTCAGGAATGCATTATTATAAAGTTAAGATAATACGTTATAATAAGTTAGGATCGTTTCATAATTGTAAGTACACATAATTGTAATGTTAACGTTTTAGTAAAATATATATTTTAGTAATAAAATCTTGACTATATGTGTCAATTAAGTTATAACAAAATTAAATACAAATTAATGTAATAAAACACTAATCAATATATTTGCGCGGATTTTGAACAAAATCCTCAATAATTTGCGACACTTTTAATAATTTATTATCCGATTGTATTCTTTGGGAGACTTTGGCCAAGCGTTTAGCCAATGCCTTATCGTTGAGCAAAGTCTCGATCGCTGACAACAGCTCCTCCTCCGAGCACTTGTATGCGTCCAGTCGTAGACCAAAGCCCTTATCGTGAATGCGCTGCTCGTTATCGTATTGATCGCCAAATACAGGCATAGCTATCATCGGTCGGCCAAAGTATAGGCTTTTGGTCACCGTATTATTGCCGCCGTGTGTGAGCACCAGATCCACAAGCGGTAGGACCCGGAGCTGCGGCACAGACTCCGCGCCCCACATATTGTCGGCCAGAGTGTACTCCGTATGCGACGGACCCATCGATACGATGAAACGGTGCGGAGATTTGGCCAAAATGGCGACCAATCGGCGCATGTTTTGCACGTCAATTGACGCCACGGTTCCCAGAGAGAAGTAGATCAACGCTCCGGGCTTTGCGGCCAACTCTGACGGCACAACAAATGTCAGGTGCCGTTCGGGTCGACGCATAAGGTTATCGAAATGGATATGATTTGCGCCCAACGGCCGGATATCCTGATAGTCCAACTCGAGGGGAAAGCCGTATATATGAAGATAACGCGAGTTATTGTGGAAACAATTGTCGGGCAGTGGTTCGCAGCCCCGACCGACTACCCACTCATTGTACGCCCGCCAAAGGTCTCTCATGCCGTCTCTGCCCGCCTCACGAAACTCTCGCTATAATCTCTGGTCGCCCGTAGCGGACAATCCTTAGTCGTATTTAAAGTGACCTGATATTAATTTTCATACATAGATTGAGTGTGCGCTTTGACCAACCTGATTTTAGTGGCGGCGCCCTCTCATCGTCCATCATGGCCAGCGGTGACTCAGCGCACAACTTGACACACGGCACGCCATACAACTCTATTGCGGGCACTTTCGCGAACTGATCCAATACGATGACATCGGGCCGAATGTTGGCCAATAGGGCCGACAGTTGTCGGTCTAAATACTGCATAGGGTTCACAAGTAACGCGGGTTGTCTACGGAGTCGCACTTTCTGTAGGGCAGAGTCGCCGCCAATCAAACCAAATGCCATCGCATCGAACTCACGGCCGTCGCCGCCGACCGCCGGTTCGTCCGTCGCGGCCATCAGTACCTCATCGATGCCGTAGGCGGTCAGACGGCCCGACCACTCGGCGTTCACCGCGAACACCGCCCGGTGTCCGCCGGCTATCACCTGTTCGGCAATAGTTATACAAGGATTGATATGACCCGTCGCTAATCTCGGCACGAATAACACGTTCAACGTTTTGTTTGCCATAATATTGCGATGTCTGCTCTCCATCTATGGATACAATTGTTTTGTTATAATAATTACTATTTTATTAATTAATTATTAGAGTATCAAGATTATTATGTAGTACAGCGTGTCGTTCACTCAATAACTAGCAGACAATTATGCGATTGTTTATATGACAATTTTCATCAGCAAAAATAATGCAGCTAGATTGTTTAGTCATTGTTTTTCATAGATATTTTTTCTATTATATTACAAATGATGATGAACATTTAAATAAGAATTTAGCAATTAATCGTGACCATTTAAATTATTTTAGACAAATATTATTTCATGTTGCAATAAGCTCTTTTGGCAAAAGGTTTATTATAAAATTGCACTATAGTAGTGCATTCTTTGAAAAAGTGGTAGGTGTTTTAGGTTACTAACGTGGCGGTTTTGTCTAGATAAAACTTATATAATAATATACAGGGTGTACATTATTCTACTATAACATTTCAAAGTCGAATATCTCGAAAGGTATTTGGTCTAGAAAATTAAATGATATATCAAAATAGTCATCAACTGCGGGAGTTTTTGTTATGATATGATCAATATATTTGACTTTGTATTATAGAAGTAATCTCAAAACTACCAAATTTTTGCCATTTTGTCCATAGTCCCGTGAATGGTTCATTTTAACAATAATATAGTCACGTGACCAAAAATATTTGTATGTTCAAATAATATCCGGCCATGGAACTATATATGTGGGAAGTGACAATATTGTCACATCAGCTGTTCCCAAATAGTAATCAAAATCCGACACGCATAAGTTTTAAAACAACCTTAAATATCTGAAATATTGAAAATCATTAATTAACTAAAAACTACATGCAGCAGAATAATTTTGATTACATATTCTTAAACAGGAGCAAAAATAACTTGATACATATTTCAGGATTTTGCTCAAAAATTAGTTTGAATTTAACATTATGTCTATAGACAAAATGGCAAAAATTTGGTAGTTTTGAGATTACTTCTATAATAAGAGGTCAAGCATATTGACCATATTATAACAAAAACTCCCGCAGTTGATGATTATTTTTATATATCATTTAATTTTCTAGACCAAATACCTTTCGAGATATTCGACTTTGAAATGTTATAGTGGAATAATGTACACCCGATATTTATAATATTACACACAGTCGAACTTTAACACTATTAAATACAACATTTTGATTTAGTATTAAATAAAAATTATAGTTTTAACTAATTTATTGAAATCACTATTTTATGATTAAAAAATATAATCTTGGCTCATTAATCATTGGCAATAAATGTAGTTCATTGCTTTATTTACTGCATGCATTAATATAAGCATGGTAATTGTAAAACAATTATATCGATGTATAAATTGCATTATGCAATGGATATTGTAAGCCCGCAAAAAATGAGCTTGGTCACCCCCGGAGGGGTCATTCTGGAGAGTACCCTTAAAACTATACACAAGCACAGCACTGTACATAAATGTTAACAAATAAAATATACCTTTTCAAAACAACCAAATATTAAAAACTTTATATAAATAATTTAGAAACAATTTAATGAATAAAATCTAGAGTAAGTTTTATTTGTCGAAGAAAAAGGTAAACAATACAACTGACATGAGATGTGATCACAGCATCGCATCTCCCAAACAGAGCAAAAATGACAAGTCATTAGTCATTGATTGTCATTATTGGCAATCAAACACAATGACGGGCCAAACATAGCTTACAATATTAATTTGATAAGGACAGAATAGTAATTCTCATTATAAGTATTTGTTTGATGTTTAAATGAAAATAATTTTGATCAAACTTTTTATACATTAAGTTTGTTAAGTAACAAGTACATTTGATAGAATTAATGTTTATTTTTTATTATTATTATTAAATATATGATTATCATTACGTGATGAAACCAAAATCCGGGTATATATTACTAACTAGTTTTGTAATTATACTTAATGCCCACCAAAAATTTTATTATATATTGATAAATCTAGATAAATTGGTATACAGTAATACTGTAACAGTATAATGCTTTTAACAGATGCTAAAGTTTTCACGAAAATTAAAATTGCATATTATTTTGAAACAACATCATATGTTATTTTTCACTTAATATTTTACAGTTAAGTTATGCAGTATTTAAGTTACAAGTAACATATATAAACACAACAATATTACAAGCAACATATTATAAAACGTTCCATTGTCAAATTAAATAAAATAGTTAAACAAAAGTATTACCTTAAAAACAATTCAACATGCTTAAGATTGTTTTAATACTGAGTACATGTATGCTAGCCATACAATCGGCAAAATGTGCGATAGAGAAACAAACTCTTGGGGAACTAATAAAAGAATCATACGGTACGTTCCCGGAATTGTTTGACGCATGTTTCGATAAAATTTCTAAAGAACTGTTCAAATGCGATGAGTGGGCCAGACGTTGGGTGGGCTCCGGACATGACCAGGCTAAATGTTGTCAGGTTTGGGACAAATTATATTGTGTCCGTAATGCAGCCGTGGTAAATATCTGGCTTATCATGTTAAAATTTTTACATTTGTTCATTGTATGATATACATTTATGTTTTATTTTTAAATTAGCTTAAATGCACCAGGGAAGAAGTGGAGATTTTGGATGGTCAATATAAAGAAGATATTGCTCATATGGAAAGTTATGGGTGTGCTGGCTACCCTTATGCTAAACGTTCAACTGAATGTGTTATGTCAAAATTAATCTAGATTTCTAATATTATTTGTAATGTTTTAATCAATTTTTATTGTGTTATTTTATTTGATCTATTATTAAATAATAATAAAATATCCTAATTAATAATCTTAATTAAATATAAATTTTTTATAAAATAATTTATGAAAGCATAATAAAATAAAAATGGCTGAGAATTTGTGCATATGGTTAGAGAAATTTATTACGCTATATTAACAATAATAAAACTAGTAACAAATGAATTTTGAATGTAACGTTAAGTGATACTTTAAATTTTAAGCTAAAGTTAAAAAGTTAAAAGTTAAAAAAAACTTTAAAACTCAATTAAAAACTTTAAATAACAAGTATAATTTTATTTTTAAGTTATTGAACATGATTAATTAATCATAAATTTATTTATTGAATTATTTTATTTTCAATAAATAGTACATAAATAATAATGATTTAAGAATCCATAGTATAGAAAATTATGATGTATGTAGCATGCGCATATTATAGATTTTATTATTACAATTATAATTTGTGACATTTGTTTGATTTATGTGAACGTTTACATTGATATTTTTAATATTATAATTATTGATATAACGTTTTAGATCATTAAATATTTTGGCGCAAATCTCCGTAAACATTAACATATCAAACCCAAACCATAGGCCAAATATACTGGCCATCATAGCCAGATATTCTTCCATGGTCATTTTTAAATCTATATCAAAAACCATTGTTCTCTGAACAGGGTACTCGATATGTAACCTAAATACATTATCATTGTAAAATAGGTCTTTTATTTGGGTACTAGTAGTGGCGTAATAATAGTATTGTACACAATCTACCCAACGATTGCATTCCCGGTCGCATCGGGAATATTTACAAGTTGTATAATTACCAAACAATACGCTTTGATTCAACGGTAAGTACACTAAATACTGTGGATTTAGTGTTAAGTTATATTCCCGGGAATATTCCCTGATATTACACGCGATGATACATTCCGTGCGCTTAATATTCACTGAACAATGAGATTGTTTAATGTGTTTGCGTTTAACAATAACCACGTTGTACTTGACCATGATTACGCTGGCCGTAGTTACCCGGATATAATTGGTGCCAAATTGTTGCGATTCGTAGAGGTGTTCGCCGCGCGTGTGCATGGTAAACATCATGATGCTATTTGTTATATTTGTTACTTTAAGTCGATATAAATATGGATTTCTTTCAATGTTGATTAATTCACTGTTTGGTATATACAGGGTGTCCGACTCGTTCGCCCATTGCGTGAACATCGATAGGCAATATTTACCATCATTAATAGAGTATTTATATGGTACAATATCTTTGCAATTTATGTAGGATGAATTAAAACGAGAATGGTTAAACACATATATTTTACAACCGATATAGTTTTCGATTGATTCCATATAATTTAATTGTTGATCAAGGTGTAATTGATTGAATGTGTTATAGTTCAAATATGTTGTATTCTTCTCGTTGATAGTATAATTCCTACTTATATATTGTTTTAATAATACTTGTTTTCTAAAGCAGACCGTATTTCCTGGCAATGATAACGGCCTGTCCTCACCGTATATGACATTAGTTGTGGTTTCGTATGAAAAGTATAATAAACTTATTTTAT